AGGAATCGTCACAATCTCCCTTTTCTAGGTAACGTTTTAAAACTCCCTCCGCTACGCTGGAACTTAATAGTATTTGGAGCACCGTCCAAGTTCTGCTTTCAAACAACATCCACGCAACAAGAAAAACAGTCCTATAGCTGCAGGGATGTGCAAACAAACGCCGGCCGCCTCTGTGACTTGTCTCGGGACACGGCCCCTTAGGAGGGTATCCGAAGCGGTTCACAAAAACCGCGTCGCTCAGCCAAGTTGGGGGCAACCGTCTCTAGTTCGCTTAAACTGGCTCTGCTTTTCAGCGGTGCTGGAACCGGCGACGGGTTTTCGCGAGGCCGTCGCAGACATCCTGCTCTCAGTCGGTGTTTGCTTGTTTTATTGCAATTAAAAAAATAAAAAATAAAAAGATTGAACTTACTTTGCTCTGGGTTGATGTACTAATCCTGGGATCTCTTTATTAGATTTAAGTCTTGCGTTCGAACTGGCACTTTTTTCCTGAAACACACAAAAACACAGCACAGAAACCATCAGCGTTCATCAAGCGCACAAAGCGCGGCAGCTCTGCGGCACGAGAGCCTCACGCCCCGCCGGATCCGGTCACTTCTACCTGTACAACCCAGTGAGAAAAGCAGAATTAAAGGCAACAACTGATAAAACGCCCCAGGGAAACGTGCAGCCATCACCTCGGGTGGGCAGACGTTAAATACGGCGAGCGGGGGCTCGGTGGCCTTCGGGATTGCCAGGGCACTGCAAAGCCTGCAGCCTCCGGCCCAGCTTTGGCCGGGGCCCGGAGCGGTCGACCTCCTCTTTTTGGGAGGGGGGGGAAAACACCTGCAAAGTAAACCTTAGCGCACGAAACCCGCCTGCCGGCAAAAATTTGGGCAAGGCTAGGCCAAATCTGCTCGGCAAGTCTTCGCAAAGCAACGCCCCGGGCGCTGGGGGAAGCTGCCGCCGGTGCAGGTGGGACCGCGTTGAGTCAACGTTTCCGTCCCACCAGCGGCACAAATCCGCCGAGACTCCTTAGGCACGCAACGCGCCGGCGACAATTTAAGCAATGCCAAAACTAAGAATTAGCCCTTTTGTCAGTAATTTCGGCGGGTTTTGTTCCGTCTTATTCAGTCGCTGAATGAATGAATCGCGCCAAATGATTTTTAAGAGGGCTACTAAATCGCTGGATTAAAAATTAGGCCGTCTAGCAGCTAATACTTTAATGAATGATTCTGCAAGGACTGTAAACATCCACCGCCCCAGCACACCGAGCGCTGTTTGATGCATAGCTGCTAATCCTCCCGAAGAGGAACGGGGGCCTTGCCTGAAAATACCCCTAAGAGAAAAGCAAAGCCTTGCTTTCCAAGCCTTAGCAAACATCTCAGTGTCTACAGAGAGAGATAGCAGGAGCTGGCAGCAGCTCAAGCCCTGCTCCAAAGCAGCTTCTCTCGCGTAGGGACAACTAGGAGGCCACAAGAAAATTGCACTTAACGTGTTGCCTTCTCTCTGTGGAGCCCATAAAAACATCTGGAAGATGAACTCGCTCAACTCCGGACGACGGAAATGAATTTCCCGTCAACGCAACGCCAAGAGCCCAAAGACTCTTCTTTCCCACCGGCTTCTGACAACGCACGCGCACCTGCTCTCTGCTGCTTGCGGTTGTGCTCGTTGATCCGAGAAGATGGCACCTTCCCCAGCTGCTGCTCGCGGGCACGGGCAGAAAAAGAGGAGCGAGGAGAAAACCTAAACCCCACGCACCGGAGCACCTGCAGGGTCAGGGACTGACCTACAGCCAGGAACCTGCTTCCTTGCACCTTCGGGCCGCCACGCCGGCGGCGCGCGACAGCCGTGCGGCACCCCGGCGTCTGAGAAGGTCCGGCCTTCGACGGAAGCGCAACGGGCTTCGGAGGCTTTAATCCGCGGCCAACAGCAATTCAGGCGCGCACGCGCGTTCGTTTGTAGCTGCTCAGTGCCGCTCACCACCCGTTTACAAACAAACCACTCCGGGTGCTGTAACTGGATATCCGCAGCCGCGGGTCTCCCGGGAAAAGGCAAACCGCGGACGTTTTCTTCCCCGCCGATTTGGCAGTTTATCGTTACCAAGGGAAAGCTGCCAGCAAATCAAGGTGATGCCATTTGATGGATTCGTTAATTGCCGTGAATGCCCCCGACAGGGCTGCGCCCCATCCGAACCGCGGGGCGTCAAGAGAGGGCAGCGACCCCGCTGCCGGACGCTGCTAGCGCAGCAACAGCCGCTGCTGCCGTTAAGAGTCAGTATCTGTCTGCGTTCCCGCTGACGTCTCCCTTCTTACGCACCCGTTCCTCGAGGCACCTGAACCTCAGGCGAGGTAGTTCCTTTCCTCCAGAAACTTGCCACGGATTTGCCTCGGGTAAGCAGCAAACAGCCTTTCGTCCCGGCTCTCTTAAGACTCACGGGCAAGCCCAGGGCTGACGAAGGTAAGATTTTCCCCCCCCCCCCCCTCAGAATAAAGGTGAACGCAGCCGCGACTCCAGAATACGGACTGAAAGACGTTTCAACTTTAAGTAGATAAAAAGCCCCTTTTAAGAACCTTTGATAATTACGGGCGTTGCTGATCTCTTGGAGAGCGATGCTTCCACCTAAGATTTTATGCGTGACAATTACTTCCGCTACCTAATCTACTGACCAGTCTTCATCAACTTATGGTCACCTTTTGGTCTTTAATGGCTTTTCTCTAATGTTGCAAATAACCAGATAAAGACATGAGCAAATAGGAAAACAAACAAACAAACAAAAAGACACGTAAAATAGTAAATCGTAGCACAATCAAAGCAAGTTTCTTTGAATCAACTTTTTTTTTTTTTTCTTTTTTGGAAAAGGTTGAAAGCATCCAACTTGCAGCTGCATTCTGGAGCCACCAACGTCTGGAGGCGGCACGTACTTCCAGTTTTAAGATGCCTTTGCCTCTATAGATTCCCTGTTAAGATATATTCAAGTTCCCAGGAGCATCGCAGGTCTCACCAGATAGCCATCACCTTTTACTCAATACCGGTAGTTTACAGCTATTCAAACATTTATAAGCAACGCACATCGCTTATAGCAGGGCACCGCTTTTCTTCAAAAGAGCCCGCAGCACCTTTCAAACTATTTTTTGGAACTGTTTAAATCGCCGTTAGAAGCATTTGGGGAAAAAGGAAGAACTGGGTGTAGAGCCCGGGCAGCGAGGAGGCCGGGCACGATGAGGAGCACGTCCACGCGCCGTCGCCGCGCGAGCTCGGCTTTAAGGAGCACCTCGTCCTTGGGGCAACCACGCAGTCGAGCCTGTTGGCTCGACCGAGCGCGGGACTCCCGCCGCCCGGGGCACCGCCGTGCTCAAAAGGAGCACGTTAAAATACGGCGAGCGCTCACCCGTCAGGGAAACGAACAGCCAACATCAGGCCGTGAGTCAGCCCCAAGCCGGAAGGGCAATCCAGACCTGGCGGGGAAAACCCTGCGCCTTCATCAAGGGCCCGCTGTTTTCTCACATTTCTCCCAGGGGGTAGGTCTCATCCTGGACAAAGACAGGTTTCCAGACCTCGTCCTTCCCCGTCCCTCCCAGGAAAGTGCTCTGCAGCGACTCCAGCTCTGGAAACGCATCAGGGAAGAGCAGTATTCAGAAAGCACAAAAATGCTGAAATGGGATAAAAGCAGGCAGAAAAGAGAGTGAAAGCCAACCAGAGTCTTTGCACGGGCAGCAGGCGGCTTGCGGCCAAGGCCTTCAAAACGCAAAAGGGACAGGGTCGTTGCGCCCGTACAAAACGAACACGAGCGACTCGGGGACGCTTTGTCCGAGCGGGATCGTGCCCGAGCGTAGATCCCCGCGCGCGCGGCCGGCAACGCGGAAACGTCGGGAAGCGAAAACGCAAGCAATAAGTGATGCTGCAGAAGAGTATCGATTTGGCTGGACCACCTCGAGCGCCAGCCCAAACCAGAGATGTTACCCTGCGCCCTCGGTGTGCTTTTAACTCTTTAGGCGTTTACGCATGCCAACATCTAACGCAGTTTCCCCCTCCAACATGAACCACGGTGCTGACATTTAGGTGCACGCGTGCAACTAGCCTCACGCAGCTGCACAGAGAAACATATATGAGAAACGGTGCTCCAGAAAAACGTAGGGACTAACTTACTACAATTTTTGTGTTTTAATTTCCAGACGTTTAGAAGGGACGCACGGCAAGGCCTGCTGTCAAAGCACTGGGAGCAACGGCTGAAGTTGAAAAGAGCTCAAATATTTCATTGCACAAATTTTGCACCTCGAGTCACGGTCGTAAAAAAGACTATCCAAGAACATACTGCAAACTTAAAGAGGGGGTTCAATGGAGCCTTACTAAACTCTCCAATAGAGCAAGCAAACACCCGACTCCCAGAGCTTGGTATTGGCTGGAGTCAGCGTAAAAACTCGTTTTATCCACAGGTTTGGCATCATTGCAAATATCGCCCTGCCGCCCTTTCTCTATTGATCTTCCTCTCCAAGGACATCTGACCTGAGGTGATTCGGTTTCAGATCGCCATTCTTTTTTTCTTCCCCTTGGATCAGCTGTTTGCACATTTGGCAGAAAGCAAGGTGAACCAGAACCCTAACGAATGTGTCGTCGCTCTCTTTAAATGCTTTCAAGAAGTTAAAATCGGGGCGTGATTGTAAGAACACCACCCCATGTTCTCATTGCGCTTAACTCTCCTACTCAAGATCAGTAGGATCTTGACTGATGTGAAAAACCCAAACAGAAATTTAAATGTGAAAAAAAGGGAAGAGGGAGGAAAAAGCGCTCTCTCTCTCTCTCCCAGAATACCTAAGAATAGCTCACTCTCGGCAAACCTATCGGCATACGAGCTTTGGTGGGGAACATCAGTAAAGAGCAAGGAAAAAAAAAAAAAGAAGGGAAATTCCCGCTCCTGAAGGGTTTTCAAAGGACATTAATATTTACTACATCTAATAGTAATCTTTTTAAACTTCCCAATCAGCTTTTCAACTCCTTCTTCCTCCCACTCAGTATCAGGAAGTCCAGACCACTGGGCTATGGTATTTCCAAAGAATTATTCTTTAAGTGTTTGGTTACTAGATGGTACCGAGATGCAGACCTAAGAACAGCTGGCACAAAGAGGGTAAATGAAGCCAGGTAAATGGGTGAAATTACAAGTGAGGCAGGGAATTGGAAAAAGAGGAGGCAGATGATTGGAAGCCTCTAGGGAAACTTCTCCTTGCCCCTTGCTGGCCTATTCCCTTTCACAGCTCTGTAGTTTTATCACCCCTCCGCAGGGATTACAGCCTTAAATCCTCTACTTTATATATAGCTTGTGACATAAAACTCCCAAAAAATAAATGCATTTATTTCCACCTCAGAGTTCTTTCCCGCAGAGCGATTCCCAAGCTTAAGACTTCAAAAAGTCCCCCGCAGAAAATTAGAAGTGTGACGACGTTAAAAATGCCTCCGTTCCGTAAGAGTGGCTTTACGCCGCTTGAAACATCTGGGCTTTCTGGCTCCTTGAG